GAGGGAGGGAGGGAGACCCATCTCCCTCAGAGCTCTTCTTGGTCAGCGACACGTTAGTCCGTTCCCCAAAGGGTTGTGTGGGTTTGTGTGTAAAAACAAAACACTTTTGCAGTGTGTGTGAAAGTGTCCTTAAATGGGAAAAAAAGGTACATAAAACCTTCCATAACCTAGCCCACCAGGGAGATAAATCACACCGGAAAACAAAACCGGTGATGATTTACATCCTTTCCCCTGACCAAACTGGTGGCCCCATGGGAGGCACGCACGCAAGGCAGGAGGGCAAAGCCCGCCCGTCCCCCAATTGCTGCTCCTGTCCCCCAGCCATGGCTTCCGCTCCCAGGTGACCCAGAGCAGCCACCCAGACAACAACGCCCCCCCTCCGCGGTCCCTGTGGCCTCCGCCATGAACCCCCGTTCAAAGGCATTCAGGTCATCAGGGTATCTTGTGGCGTTGATGGGAGGACACAGCTTCAGAACAAGGAGGGGGTGATGGTGGCTCTTTTGCTGAATTAGGGAATGACTACGGTAGTGAGCTTGTAGAGGGAGGACTGTTTGCCTATTCCCTGCAGTGGGCGTTTTGAAGGGATGCTTTTTCCAGCTGCGAGCCATCTTTTTTTCTTTAGACGGATCCCTCTCTTCCTCCCTCACCCCCACACCAGCAAAGGAAGTAAAAACGAACAGGAAAGCAGCACAGGAGGGAGCGATCCACTCTAAACACTTAATCCCCTCTGCAAATTTGCAACAGCTCACAGGAGTCCCTTTGAAAATGTGCCTCTTGGGCCAGAGGGAGCTTTTTAAACCGAGCCTGTTACCAACAGAGCATGATGCTGCGGTCTGGTCTGGAGGGAGAGAGCGCGCTGGTCCCTGCCAGGGAGGAAGGCCACCGCCTAGGGAAGGGCCACGGCCCCTCTCACAGGACGTTGCCCCAAAGAGGGCAGTTTGTGGGCAGGGGAAGACCCCTTTTTGTCCCAGCGTGACTCTGCCTTCCTCTTCCAGGGTTCATGCTGTGGGATGAGGACTCCTGCTATGACCGGAACCCCTACCTCTGCAAGATGTAGGCAAGACGCTCTCGGCGGATGGACAGTATTCATCCGGTGCTCCAGTGCAGACGGTGCCCTCCTCGTCCTGGACGGGTGCCTGGAGGCTCCGCACCTGAGATTTACGGCTTGCACACCTCAGGCAAACCTCTCTGCTCTTCCTTCTCACTTGGCACTGCACACCCAGTCTCGTGGTATCCAAAATAAACAGCTTTAAGCACAAAGAAACGGACTTGTTCCTCTCCTTTGAGTGGGGGGTTGGGGGTGGCTGCATCTCGTGGTATCCAAAATAAACAGCTTTAAGCACAAAGAAACGGACTGCTTTGTTCCTCTCCTTTGAGTGGGGGGGTTGGGGGTGGCTGCACTTCAAGGTCTAATAATGCTTGGCGCAGACACACACACAGACGCGTGCGCGCACACACACTTCTTTCCTCACTCCCAGCTCCAACAAACCCTGGGCAGCCGTCTCTGCCAGCAGCGGGGTCTTCCTGCCATGGTGGCAAAGGGAGAGAAGAGCCAGCAACGGGTCGGATCCTGCTTTCCTTGCTCTAAGGGACGCATTGCTTTGGGGGAAATGGGTTCAGAAGAGGCCATGTGAGAGCAGTGGGGCAGGAGCAAACCGAGGCTCTCTCCCTTCACTCGCCCTCCAACGCTCACACGCACTGCCTGGTTCCACCGTCACGCCAGAGCCCCACCCCCACCCCCAGAGTGGTGCCCCAGGAGAGGTTTTAACACCCGTGACTGGGGAACCTCCCTCTGGGATACGCACCGTGCCGTGTGGAAGAGCTGCTTGGGTTCCTTCTCCGTCCAGAGGCGCGTGTGGCCCCTGGCACATCTCCCTCCCCTGGAGCAGACACTCCTTCTTCAGATCCACAACATGAAGCCACAGCGGGCACACATTTTGGGCTGCAGGAGGCAGGCCACACAAACTGCGGTGAAGTACGCCATGCCAGGAATGATAGGACTCCCCTCGGTCAGTTTGTCTTGCCACAGCCTAATGTTGGCTCCCGCCACCAAGTCCTCTCGCCGCCTTCTCCCCAGTTCCTTCTGGTGCCACTCCAGCTCCGGGTGGACTCTTTGGCACTGGATGGGCTGCAATGGCTTTTACTCCTCCTGAGTAAAGCTCCCTTTGGCTCATCTGGACTTCCTCCCCTGGTGCTGCCCAATTGGGGTCGGGGGGTGTTCCCACAAATGGTCCCAGAGAAGGCCGTGGTCTTCCACAGCAGGACAGATGGGTGCCGGGTTGGTTCCCCAACTGCTGGGCCACCCCCTCCCTGTTGGGCGTCTCAGGGGCATACCTGACAGATGCCCAATCCAGCACTTTCGGCTGAAAAGGATGTGCGTGTGTGTGTGCTATGACAGGGAACGGTTCCTGTCCACCCCCTTCCCTGAGAGAAAGAGAGAGGGGCTGTTTCTGCCAGGACTGAGCTCCCGGCCCACCTGCCTCTCTCTCTCTCTCTCTCTCCATCTCTCCCTTTCTCTCTCTCACACACACACACACACAAACACACGCTTACACAAGTGAGTGCTGCTCACTCACTTTTGGCTCCTGGCTGTGCCCTCCTGGGGCTGCTGGGCCTTCCCAAGGTCCATGACGGAGCTCCAGCTGCCACTGGGAGAAGCCCTGGTGTTTTGTTTTTTGTTTTTTGTTTTTTTGGATTGGGGCTGAGTGGAGAGGAAAGGGGGCCGGGCAGGCCCAAGGCTAAAGGAGCAGAGATGGGCTGGCGGGTTCATGTCACCAGCTTGCCCCCCCACCCCCACCCCTTTACAGGCCAGACGGACCCGTCCGGCGGTCTCATTTCTTTCCCTTCCTGTTCCACCCTGGAGAACGGGCTGCAAAGATCGCTCTCGGCTGACTCTTCTGCAGGAGTCCAGGCACGCCAGGACGAGAGACTCTCACCCGC